CTCCTCCTCCTCCTCCTCCTCCTCCTCCTCCTCCTCCTCCTCCTCCTCCTCTCCACCCTCTCGCAGCGAGCTGGCCGCGGCGCCAGATACGTCCTGCAGGCCTGCCGGCTCTCCGAGCTCCTCGACTTGCCCAGCGCAGGGCTTTCGACGTGGCGCCAACGCACCTACGCGAAGGGGCCCTGGGACACACAAATGAATGCACACAAATAACAGGACTCCCCCATATTGTCCCATGTCTTCTTGGTTTGTGCCTTCCTCCCCACCTCCCACAGTTTCCCATCTCTTCTGGGGGGTCGACGATTCATTGTGTCTGTGGGTTTCTTTCCCTCCTGATTACGGCAGGTTCGTGCGGCGTCGGCGCGCGCACAAGCTTTTGACACCGCGTCGATCGTTCAACCTTGCATCGATCGCGGCTCCGATCTTTCAAACCTGAGTTCTGGCGGGTCCAGTGGCGTTGCCGCGACCCTCGGTGCTTCCGCGTCGCAGATTTCACGCTTGAGCGCCTTCGCCGGCGTCGCCGGCGCGCCAACGCCGTATGAACATACCGTTGCTTGGCTCTCTCTCTTTCTCTCTCTCTCTCTCTCTCTTTCTCTGCTTCTCTCTCTCTCTCTCTCCCCCTTTCTCTCCGTAGCCATTTTGGCTCCCGCCGCGAGCACGAACGGTTCGGGGAACTACGAGCGAGCCTGTGCCCCACCTCCCCTCAGCGCCGCGCTGGCGGCACGAGGCGCGGCCGCAAATCTGATCGCCCCCCCTTGGCCAGCGGGGCACCAGGCGTCCGTAAGGGACCACCACATGCCCCACCTGTTCCCCTCCTGCTCCGTCGCCCTCATCTACCGGAGGCTGCACTTGCCGCGTGGACGCCATAGCCGTGGTGATCTACGGTAGAGGAAAACGAGCAGTGAACACCCCCCCTGCCCCCCAAACTCCAAGCTGGCATGCGCGGGGGAGACTGCGGTCGAGGTGCAACTCATCAGACCCACCGCCAACTTTGAACACTGGGGGGATGGGGAGGCGTTGGAGGAGGAGGAGGAGGAGGAGGAGGAGGAGGAGGGAGGAGGAGGAGGAGGGAGGAGGAGGAGGAGGAGGGAGGAGGGAGGAGGGAGGAGATAGAGGGAGGAGGAGGAGGAGGAAGGGAGGAGGAGGAGGAGGAGGCCTGAGCTCGACTCTGACGTCCACGCGGCGCCGCCTCCGCCTACGGCGGGCCGCGCACCGTGCCGGCGTCAGGGCGTCTCCTGCACGCTCTGTGCTGAGTGCCCCGTTCTCGCGGACAGACATCTTCGCGTGCTCCAGATTTCGTAATAAAAGGGAGGGGGTCTGGACCCTCCAAGACAAGCCATTTCAGACCTCCCCCGTGGGAGAACCCTCCCAAACATCGTCCCCAGACCCCCCCAGGCCCTCCAAGATAGCCTGGAAGAGCCCCCTCCCAAATGAGACCCCCCTCCCTTTATTACGAAATCTGGAGTACCACTGGTACATCGTTCTTGTGGTCCTCCCCTTGGGCCCCCTGGACGCGACCGCCATGATCTACGCGGCTCACGGGGTGACCCTCACGTTCCACGTGCGGATCTTCGAGACACCGGAGCGGATGGTCGTCCCGATCTCTATGGGCTCAGTGCTATTCGTGCCGATCTCCACGACCTCCGTGCTGACCTTCACTTCTCCAAGCTTGCTCCAGTCGGCCAACTCGTCGCGTGGATCGTCCAATCTTTCACGCTCATCCCGACCATCTTCGGGCTTAGCTTCACCATCGTTGGGCCCACGGGCAAAATCTGCGGGCACAACCTCGCGATCTCCTAGTCAGTGGGCCAGCCCGACGCGCGCAACTTCACGATCTTCGTGATGAACCCTAATTATCGATCTACGTGATGATTATTACGCTACGCGTGCGCAACCACTCGTTCTCTGCGTCCGTGGGCAACCTCTGCGTGCGCATCCTCACGGTCTTCGGGCCCCTCGGCGAACCCTGCATGCACAACCCCACGACCTTCGGGACCGTGGGCAAACTCCGCGTGCGCATCCCTGCGAGTGGGTCGTCTGTGCGTCCGTGCCGCCTTCCGTCCCGTCCCGTGCCACGAGCACGGGGTGCGGACGACGTTGCGGCCCCCATGGCCGTCTCTGCGCGGAAGCTCCCACGCACACCCCAGCGCCCCTTGGCAGTCGGCCTCACCTGAGCCACATGCCGCCCCCCCTCTCTCCACTCTCGCCCCCTTCCCGCCTCCTCTCTTTCCTTCCTCGCTCCTGTTGGCTACCCCCCGGGTGGTGGACCCCTGCCCTCCTTCGGGTCTCGGGCCGCGTGGGTGGGGGGGGGGGCGTCGCTCTCGGGTGGCTCACCTCTGTACGTTCGGGAGCGGCCAAGAGGGGGGTGTCCAAGAGAGGGGGTGCAAATCACGACCGGCGGCATGTGCGCGGCCCAGCGGGGGGGCCAGGAACGTAATGAAATAAGAAGAGGCGCTGGGAAATCTGGGGAAATATCAGGGCCCCCGCCATGATATCCACCCCCCCTGGTCATCACCCCCCTCTTTGCCGCCCCGGATACGTGGCCCTGTCTGACTACCTACCAGACCACCCCAACCCAACCCGAAGGCACGAATTTGTCCCGAATTTCGGGTTGGGGGGGGGTACGGGGACCCTGTGTTTTTTCGACGTTCCCCGACCCCCCCCCCACTGGAAATGGAGGGCAGATTGAGGCCTTCGGGTTGGGTTGGGGTGGTTTGGTGGGTGGTGACTGTCCGCGTCCCTGGCACCCACGCTTCGGGGAGTTCTTTGGGGACCGGGCAGGGGCCGCACTTCTCGGGAGCCAGCCTGTGACCCTCCCAGGCGGCCAGCACGGCAAGGGAGGGCGAGAACCAGCGCAGCTCGCAGGTTAGAAAACAGGACGCAGGCGTCGAGAGGGAGGGACCTACTCTCTGCTCTCTCCTCCTCCTCCTCCTCCTCCTCCTCCTTCGCCGCCATCCTCCTCCTCCTCCTCCTCCTCCTCCTCCTCCTCCTCCTCCTCCTCCTCCTCCTCCTCCTATTCCTCCTCCTCCTTCTCTCTCGTGTCTCCACGTTCGCCTCCGTTTCTGCTTTCGGGGCCGACGGATAGGGGGGTACACTGAGGGGGGTCATAGACTCAGCTGAGTGCAACTGGACTTCTCGGCGCCCCCAGTGCCAGAGATCCCCATGTATCGAGGAGAAGCGATCGGCGGCGGGCCCGAAACCAGCTGCATGCAGCAAGTGTAATACCCCCTCATCCAAAATCCCGCCCTTTTCCAGGACATCCGACGTCGTGGTGTTTCACGACGTAGCCGCCCAGAGGTCTAGACACCAATATCCTTTACGGAAGCTTTAAGATTGCTGCAACGATTCAAGAAAATGGGTTCAATGAGACTGCTTCCAGCCCCCGAGGCGCGATCCGTGTGAGAAGCGCGCAAACCTTGGCCCACTGACGCGGGCTCGAGGCCCAGGCGCCCGTCGCCAGCCGAGAAACCAACGCACACATCTCATGAAAACGCGCCTCTAACTCCGCGTTGATCGCGCCGCGCGAATTTAACTCCGCGCTCGCGCCGCCGCCTCAGTGGAGAGAAGACGAGACTGCGGAGTCGGAGCCGCACCGCAAAGCGCGCACATCCTGGCGCCCTCGATAGCGCCCTCGTGTGTCTCCAGCCCCCGCAGGCGCGATCTGCGTCGGGCGCGTACCAAACAGTTGATGGGCCTGTTTTCCCGCGAAGCGCGCATAACTTTGCGCCCTCGATGGCGCCAAGTTATGCGCGCTTCGCGGAGAAGGAGGAGGGAGGAGCAGGGAGGAGGAGGAGGAGGAGGAGGAGGAGGAGGAGGAGGAGGACGCGGAGGAGGATGAGGAGGAGGATGAGGAGGAGGAGAAAGGAGGAGGGGAGGAGCACGCGAAGGAGGGGAAGGAGAGGGAGGAGAAGGAGGAGGAGGAGGAGGAGGATGAGGAGAGGGAGGAGAAAGGAGGGAGAAGGGAACGAGGAGGAGGAGGAGTAGGAGAGTAGGAGGAGGAGGAGGAGGAGGAGGAGGAGGAGGAGGAGGAGGAGGAGGAGGAGGAGGAGTAGGTGTGCCTGGCTCCAGCCCGCGAGGCGCGATCTGCGCCAGGCGCGTGCCAGCCAGTGCCAGTGCGCGCCATCTCCAGGCCCGGACGTCGCTGCCGCCAGCCGCCGCCTGGCCAGCCGCCGCCTCGCCGGCCGCCGCCGCGCGCATCCCGCTCCCAGGCACTGCCACGCGGCGAGGCATCCTGCCGTTGGACATTGCCCGCCCCGCGGCGTTGCCACGCGGCGAGCAGCACGGGATCGCAGCTCGGTCGCCCCCAGGCCACACCGCGTGATACGAGAAGAACGGAGCGGTGCTGAAACCGCCCCGCCGCGATGCCACTCTGCGTCGATCCTCGAGTTGTGTGCTCTCCGCCCCGCGGCGATGCCACGCGTTGAGACGATATGGTGCCGTTTCGCCTCTGGAGCGTTGCCACGTGGTGAATACGAGTTTCGCCTCGCTGCGTTGTCACGTGGCGAGTAGAGTCATTCTGGTTCCAGCAACTTCTGTTGCAACGTAGCGGACGGAGTGTAGTAGATCGTTTTCCCCTCCTGTCGCCGCGTAACGAGAAGAGTGAAATAATACATACGTTTCGCCTCCTCGGCGTTGCCACGCAACGAATATGATATAATCGTGAATTTGTTCTCAGCCCACAGGCGTTGCCGCGTGACGAATCGACTTGCCGAATAGAGAGTGTCAGATTCTAGAACGTATTTCGTCTTCGGGCATTGCCGCGCAACAAGTAGAGCGTAACATCCGGCCCAAGTCGTTGCCACTTGGCGAGTAAGAGTAGACGTACAGGTGTTTCTCGCCATGCTGCCTTGCCATGTGCAGAGTCACATATCATCGTATGATTTAGCCCCTCAGGCCGTGCCACGTGACGAGTAAGAGTAGCCTGACACTTTTCCTCCCCCAAGCGTTGCCACGTCACGAGCAAGAGTATAATAGGACGCTTTGACGCCACGCTGCGTTGCCACGTGGCGAATCGCATAGGACAGTATTGTTTCGCCCCCCCCCCCCGGGCGTTGCCACGTGACGAATAATTAAGAGTGGGACGGGCTGTTTCCGTTTGGCTGCGCGGTGCCACTTGGCGAATCAAGCAAGATTGAAATTCGGTCCTATCGCGCTGCCGCGTGGCGAGTAGAATGTTATCGTGATCGTTCGCCCCTGAGGGAGTGCCACGGGGCGAGCAAAAGAATCCGCCCCGCTGCGTTGCCACGTGGCAACTGCAACAGAGTAGTATGTTTCCCCACGGGCGCTGCCACGTAACAAATATTTAGTTTCCACCCTCTTGCTTTGTCACGCGAAGCGTATACTGGAATTGGCCAACCGACCAACCGCCGAAGCAACCAATTAGTCCACCAAACGCTCAAGGAAACTTGTCAACCAACCAAATCATGACGTGTCGCGCCGTGCCCGCGTCGCGCCGCCATCCACCCGGCCAAGCGACCAACCAACCGATTGGCCAACCAACCAACTGACCCAGCAACCGCAACCAATCGCCTAATCAAACGACCAACGAAACGACCAACCGATCAACCAACGAACCAACAAACCACCTGGGCAACCTACCTACCCTCCGACCAACCCAACGAACAAACCAACCAACAAGGCAACCAACCGACCAACCCAACGACACAACGAACCAACCAGGGCAACCAGGCAACCGGCAGCCAAACCGATCAGCCGTTTCACGTCACGTGTCAATTGCAACCGAAAACAAGTACGAACCCATAAACTTTGAATTGGGCCCTAAGCACAACAAAAATGAACCCTCAGAAGAAATTCGCCGGCACAACGGGCCCGGGCAGAGGCGTGCTAAGATCTCCGGTAATTTCTAATTCGCGCGCGCGGAGCGGCCCCTGGGGGGCCCCGGACGAAAAGTACCCCGGCAAGGTCCCGGGAGAAGCCACCAGAGCACTCCAGGGGAGGGCCATTTTTCGACACCCCTCACGAAGATCGTGGCCTCCAGGGGGGAGCCGCAATCGACTACCCCCCCTCCCGCCCCAAGAGGCCCCCAAAAGCGATCCAAGAGGCCCTGGGGGCCCCCAAGACGCCGCCAAGGAGCCCCAAGAGACTCCCAAGAGGTCCCCAAGAGGCCCCCAAGAGGCCCTAAAGAGGGCTCCAGGGCCGGCGGCATGAGCGAAGCGATTGAATAAACCATCAAACAAATTTGATTGATCCTGCTCCCTCTGGACACCCTCCCAGGGACGGACTTTTCATCCTGAGTGATGTTTTTATAAGGTCCCGGGGTCTGGCACGGGTCCCCGAGGCCGAAAACTACCAAAAATCTTCCGTCGTGTTTCTTTTCACGATGCAAGGATGTCAGAGTTCGTCCGACCTGATCCTCCTCTGCCCCCGAGGTATGATAAAGTAAACGCGACGCGACACCACCACCACCGCCAAGGACCACCATGGGGGAGGAGCAAAGGGGGGTCCTCTTGGTGGTGTGGTCCCCCCTCTTGTTCGGGACATACATGAGCCCCGGCTCGGGGAGGCATCGTGGACCTCTTCGTTGAGGTGCCCCCCCTGGTGGTGGTGTGATGTCAGTTCTCCTGCCCCGGGGAGGAACTCCGAGACCTTCAGGGGAAACTTCAGCGCGAACTTCTCGGAGCCGGGCCACGGCCCGTCGCCGAAAGGCTCCGTCCCGGCCAGGTCCGTCAACCAATGCGCGAAGTAGAAGCTTATGTCGGAATCGTTCGCCCCTCCTGGGAGGGACTGGGAGGATGAGGAGGAGTATCGCTGAACCGATCCCCATCCCCAGCGGCGTGGCCTGGGCCCCGCTGGCCGATTTACCCCCCCAGATGGGGATATAGGTCGTTCCCTTCGGACTTGGGGGTGGGGGTGGGGATCGGATAAACAATACCGAGAGGAAGAGCCGGGCCCTGGAAGCATTGAGGCTCTGGGCACTTGCCGGGCCTCGGGACTGGTGAGAAACGGCTCAGGACCCTGGGACGGGACGGGAGCCGCGTTATGATAAAAAGGCCACGTCAGATGTGCACGTAGGTGGAGGACAACTCTTCTCCATCTCCTCCTCCTCCTCCCTCGGTTCCTCCCCCGCTTCCCTTTCTTCCACTCCTTGGCGCCTTCCTTTTCACCTCTAAGTCACATTTGTTTCTGCCCCCCCCCTCGAGGCGAAGGCCGTCTGGGGGCAGGGCGGCGTCTCGAGGCTTCGAGGTGGAGAGGCGCCGCTGATGATTCAGGCTTGTTGGTGCTTGTTTTGGCCCTTTTAGTGGCTCCAGATGCCTCCCAGGCGGAGAAGGAGCAGCGGAGCAGGATAGGGGGGAAAGGGGGCCAGATTGATCGAGGGGAAGACAAGGGGGATAAGACACTCCTGGACGAGGATGCGGATGAGCACAATGGGGGAGCAGGGTGACCAGGAGGAGAATTGCGATGAGGAGGAATACGTACAAGGAGGCGGAGCAGACGAAGGAGGCCAGCGATGGGGGCAGCTGCAGCGGCAGCAGGAGGGGGAGCAGGAGCAGAAGAATCAGCAGGAGGGCGCCCACTCCTAATGTGATGACCTCCTTGAACTTGGAGAACAGGGCGCCTGGCGGCGCCTCCCCCTGCACGAGCCAGCCGTTGTTGAAGCCCATCTTGCCCTGCGTGAAGAACAGGACGGCGCGCTGAGAGAGGAACAAACGGCTTCGTAAACATAACCTGTCGGAGCTCCACGCAGGTTCTTCTCGGATCGGCGCTGGACCCCCCCCCCCCTGGCGAGCGGAGCGCGCCGGGTGGGGGGCGCCCACCTGGCGCCGCCAGGGAAGCCAACCGCCGATCCACGGAATCCGCGCGGCACTCCGAAACGCTCTGTTCGAGCAGCGTTTCGTCCCTCGGGGTGAGCTGGCCCCAGGCCGTTGAAGCTCGGCAGAAGGCCGGGGAAGTGCTCCATGACGTGCGGGCCCCCAGAGGCGGCGACACCACTGGCGTGCGCCTCCCAATCATCTCTCGGGCGCGCCGCGCGCCTCCCGGCTCCCTCCTCTCCACGGGCCCCAGGCAAGGGGTTCCTTTGCACCGGAGGAGCTGCGTCGTTGGGGGAGAACCGTCTGATGCCCTGTGGCGTGCCAAAGCACCGGTCTCGGGACTCCATCGCCACGGATCACCATGAAGCTTGCGTCTTGACGATCCTGAGGCCTGCCAGAACACCATTCCTGGGACTTCAACGCCGCGAATCAACGTTACGATTGCGCCCTCACAATCCTGAATCCTTCCAAAACAACATTTCTGTTACGTTGACAATGGGAATCCGTGAAACCCTTGCAATTCTTTAAAACGAATGTGCGCGGCTCTAAAACGAGAACCACATTTTGAGAACGCACCGCCCCCAATCCGTGAAATTCGTGAGAATATTGACAACGAATGTGCGCGGCACTAAAGCGAGAACCACAATTTGAAAACGACCCGCACTCAATCGCTCTTGCACATGTGTAAAACGAAGGTGCGCGGTGCTAAAGCGAGAGCCACATGTTGGAAGGGACCCGTCCTCCACATGTGAAGCGATTGCCAATGTTGAATCTTCAGGGACATAAGTGGTAAGGAAGTCTCAGGCAAAACGCCCAGCACGCTCTATCGACTGGCCTCGGGGTGCGACAGGGTAAAGTTAATTACCGGGAAAAGGAATGGTGGAGGGGGAGGCGGCGGGACCAGGAGGAAAGGCAGGACGACGCCGAGGAGACGAGGCGCGGCGACGATCTGCACAGAGTAGCACGGATCTGGGCGGGGACCCACCGTGCAGGAGGCGTGGAAGCAGCACGATGGGGGAGGAGGGAGAACAAGAAGACTCTTTGCTGGTCCTCCCTTCCTGTTACCTCTTACCGATACCCGCCGGTGACCCCTGGAGTGGTGCTCCAGGGGTCATCTGGCTCTAGATTTGATCAACCCCACAGGGCCGACCTCTCCTGGGGGAGGAGGCTACTGCTGGAGGGTCTTGCAGCCACCAGGAGCCAGGCACCAGCAGGAGAATGAGGAGGAAGATCGGAGCGGGACGACTGCGATCCTGAGCGGTGGTTCCTGCTTGGCAGCAGGAGGAGGGGAGACCGGAGGAGGACGAGGAGGAGGAGAGGGAGACGGAGACAGAGGAGGAAGAGAGCGAAGAGGAGGAGCAGGAAGAGGAGGAGGAGGAGGAGAAGGAAGAGGAGGAGGAGGAGGAGGAGGAGGAAATGGAGGAGGAGGAGGAGGGGGAGAAGGAGGAGGGATGGGCGGTGGTGGCTGTAGATGGAGAAGGAAGGTTTCTCATGGGAGTCTTTGGGAATGTGCCAGTTTTTCCCAACCATCCTGTGGTGTTGGGTCCTCGTTTTGAAGAGACGGTCCCCGCAGTCTCCCCTCTTCCTCCTCTCCTCCTCCTCCCCTCCTCCTCCTCCCTCCTCCCCGTCTTCCTTGCGTTTCGCCCACCCAGTACAACGTTTTGTGGCCCCAAAGGGAGCCCCACCGAAGGCCCCAGTGCTGCCGCCCGCATGCGTCACGCACACCCAATTCGGCACACCCCTCACACGTTTCGTGGCCCCATAGGGAGCTTCGCCGAAGGCCCCAGTGCTGCCGCCCGCATGCGTCACGCACACCCAATTCGGCACACCCCTCACAAGTTTCGTGGCCCCATAGGGAGCTCCACCGAAGGCCCCAGTGCTGCCGCCCGCATGCGTCACGCACACCCAATCCGGCACACCCCGCACACGTTTCGTGGCCCCATAGGGAGCTCCGCTGAAGGCCCCAGTGCTGCCGCCCGCATGCGTCACGCACACCCAATTCGCACCCCTCACACGTTTCGTGGCCCCATAGGGAGCTCCACCGAAGGCCCCAGTGCTGCGCCCGCATCCACGCATTCGCGTCCCGCACATTTCGGGTCACACGTTTCGTGGCCCCATAGGGAGCCCCACCGAAGGCCCCAGTGCTGCCGCCCGCATGCGTCCCGCACACCCAATTCGGCACACCCCTCACACGTTTCGTGGCCCCATAGGGAGCCCCACCGAAGGCCCCAGTGCTGCCGCCCGCATGCGTCACGCACACCCATTCGGCACACCCCTCACACGTTTCGTGGCCCCATAGGGAGCTCCACCGAAGGCCCCAGTGCTGCCGCCCGCATGCGTGCATTCGCACACCCATCATGCACACCCATTTCGGCACACCCCTCACACGTTTCGTGGCCCCATAGGGAGCTCCTCCGAAGGCCCCAGCGCTGCCGCCCGCATGCGGCCCGCACACCCATTTCGGCACACCCCTCGCACGTTTCGTGGCCCCATAAAGAGCTCCGCCGAAGGCCCCAGTGCTGCCGCCCGCATGCGTCCCGCACGCCCATTTCTGCACACCCCTCACGCGCTTGGTGGCCTCATAGGGAGCTCCACCAAAGGCCCTAGTGGCAGCGCTCACATGCGCATGCGTCCCGCACACCCATTTCGGCACATCCCTCACAGGTTTCGTGGCCCCATCATCCACCGGAGGCCCCAGCGGCGGCGCTCACATGCGTCACCCACACCCACCCAATTCGGCACACCCCTCACACGTTTCGTGGCCCCATAGGGAGCTCCACCGAAGGCCCCAGCGGCCGCGCTCACATGCGTCCCCGCCACCCATCCCGGCACGCCCCTCACAACAACAGGTTTCGTGGCCCCATAGGGAGCTCCACCGAAGGCCCCAGTGGCACCGCCCGCATGCGTCACCACCCGCACCCAATTCGGCACACCCCTCACACGTTTCGTGGCCCCATAGGGAGCTGCACCGAAGGCCCCAGTGGCGGCGCTCACATGCGTCCCCGCCACACATCCCAGTACACCTCTCACGCGCTTCGTGGCCCCATAGGGAGCTCCACCGAAGGCCCCAGTAGCGGCGCTTACATGCGTCTCCGCCACCCATCCCGGCACCCCCCCCGCAGCAGCATCATGTTTCGGGGACCCATAGGGAGCTCCACTGGATGCCCCAGTGGCGGCCCTCACATGCGTTTCCGCCACCCATGTCGGCACGCCCCTCGCGTGTTTCATGTCCCCATAGGGAGCTTCACCGACTGCCCCAGTAGCACCCATCTCGGCACACCCCTCACACGTTCTGTGGTCCTATGGGGAGTTCCACTGAAGATGAAACCCGCAGCTGCGGTACTGACAACTGCATATGGTTGGATTCTTCGCCAGGCTATTTTTTTACCGCAGAGTGCTGCAATATTTGGGGAAGTATACGCGCTGCTGCAGGCGCTCGAGCATCTTGATTTTGATGGGGATGATATGCCAGAAGAGTACACTATCCATGTTGACTGTAAAAGTCTTTTCGGAGGAGCCGAGAACGACTTCACGGCGACCTCTGGCTCTTCGCCTTTAGCAGAAGTGTGAAGAGTTATCTCCCAGAGAAGCTACCCGAGGTGGCGACCGGAAAAAGTCAGAGCTTATGTGTCTGATGAGAATTTGTCGGGAGTTGCTCTACGACATGAAATAGGAAATGACAAGGCTGGTGAATATGCTAAAGACGGAGTGCATTCACATCCTGATGCTCTCTCCAATATCTTCAAATATGAACTGGCCTAGGCTGACTGAAATGAGATTGCGTTGCCAGTTGCTAGGAATGTGTCGAGTATTCCCACGTCCAAGGAGCTGTATGGGAAACTAAATTGTGATCCAAGGCCTCCGAGGCCGAAGTACGTCCCAAGGGGCCGCGCCCACCGTGTGCTTTGGAACGGGAACCGATGGCGCTGCGTGCAGTGTGCTGGGTGTTTCAAAGATAAGCGGGCCCCAGGTAGACGTGCTGTTCTAACACCAGTCTTGAGACAGCTGGCCACAATTCAATGAGATCGCCCGCACAAACTACACGTTTGTAAAGTGGTCGAAACTGGTCTCCCAATAGTTCGTTGCGGGGCCTACACTTCGGGCCTTCCCTGTAAGTTGGGGGGTCCCTGCGACAAGATCTATGTGCAGCAGAGACGCCAGATTCTAGCTGGCAAACTCCCCTGGCCGAAGGGCCAGCATGTCACGAATCCCTGGCCCTCAACCCTGAGTGCCCTAAAGGGGGTGAATGGTGGGACCTGCTGTACTAAATAAATTGTTGTAGCAGCCCTTTCGCTCCAGGAATGGTAGGGTGAAGAGAGAGCCACTGGATAAAAGGAGGAGGAGGAGGTGGAGGGGGAAGAGGAGGAGCAGGAGGACAGCGTTCTCCCGCCCACTTCGGCGAACCCCTCACACGGATCGTACCATATCGGGAACTATCTGTGCGCATGCGTCCCACTCGCGCATGTCGATGAACCACGTCGGCAATGCCTGGCGATCCTCCGACCCCATGCGCTCGGGCCGCATCTGGGCAGCCTCTGGGATCGGCGGACCCGTCGGGGGATCCACCTGCACCCGAGGTCGGGGGCGCCCGCACCAGCGGTGGGGGCGTCGTGGAAAGCAAGGGTCTTCTGAAACGCCCCCCTGGCTGCTCAGCAGCCTGGTCGGAAATCTCCCGGCCCTTCTGCCAGGACGCAACGCCTAGGGCTTCAGATGCAACTTCGGCGCTGGAAGGTCCGTGGTCGAAAAACGGACCAACCCAGCCCAGCCTCGCGAAAACCCATTTCATCTGGCCCACATCTGAGTTCATCTGGGCTACTCTGGCCTAGTGGCCCATCCATCGGGCCGAATAGCTCTTAATTCTTAATCGGTCCCACGAAGACCTCCCAGAAGTTCCATCCGAACTTCTAAGAAGGCCCCCTCTCCCTTCCAGTAGTCCCCCCGCCTCCTTAGAAGCCCACTCCCTTTGCGCCACCATTTCGCACGTGCGCCGACACTTCTTAGGGAGGGAGACGACGTCCATGCTGTTGGTCAGCTTCCAGTGCAGCCAGGAATCCTCCCAGCGCCAATCAGTAAGAGGGGTGATGATGACGAACTGAAGAGGGATGAAACCGCAGCGGAAGAAGAGCGTTCCCCAAGCATCCCCCCTCGGTGTCTACATCAAAGCCGGTGTCCCCGTCTCTGGGGGCCTGTATGTACCTGAGCCCGAGGTCATGGTCGTGGATGCGATCGCCCTGTGAGAAACCCTCATACGGCGCGTGCTTCTCATGGACCGTCGGCAACAAATCCGTGTTCTTCATCACGTCATGGACCGCTGTCAAAGCAAGGAACGCTGTCATACGTTCGACATCTACGTACATCC